GGGTTATTCTAAGAGAGTATGAGGTACACTGGAGATAGATAAAATTGCTCAGGTGAATTGGGGGGGGGGGGGGGCTTATTCACAGTACGATTTTATTCAATGGTGAATAAGGAGAGGGTAGTGGAAGAAGGAATCAAAATGTTTGACAAAAAGCCAATGGTTGTCAAACCATGAAGACCAAATATCTAACTTGATAAGCAGATGGTTGATAAAATTCCTGTGTGGATTAGGCTGATGAAACTAGTTATCAAATACTGGGGTCAAACTGCTCTAATAAAAATAGAAAAAATGATTGGCAATCAACTGAAAGAGGACAGAGCCACAACCAAAAGGAGAGATTGCAATTTGCTAGAATAGTAGTAGAAGTAACACCAAATCAAATATATCCGGATAGGGTAATATTTGAGATTGAATGTGAGGTGATCATAGAATAGGAAGTCAACTATGAATGGAAGCCAATCTACTGTAAATCATATGGCAACTTTGGGCATGATCTCAAAGATTGCAGGAAACAATTAAGGCAGAAATAGGAGAATACAATTGAAGATGCTAACAGGGAATAAATAATTGGAGGAATGCAACTAACACCAAGGAGGTGGAGAGAACAGGTGAGCAGCAACAAAGCAATGAGGTAGAAAGTACTAATGCAAGCAAAAATGGGAGCAATAAGGACAAGCAGCTAGAGATACAAAATAATCAAAGTCAGACAATTAATAACAGAAAGGAGCAGGAAACATAGAAAGTGGTATAAGGGAAGGAAGCATGGAAGGGAAGAGGCAGTAGTACAAATACATATGCTGCAATAACATAGATGACAAAGAGAAACACTAGGAGGAAAGGAGAGGAGACAGACAATGGAAAGGAGAAGTAAATGGAAACACATGGAGATGGTAGCAAATCAGGGGAGGATGGGGACCTAACCCCCACCTCCCTCAATGGATAACATAGGATTTTGGAATACCAGGGGTCTCAACAGGACAACCAAATAGAAGAAAATGAATCTCTTTCTATAAAGACAACAGGTTGGACTGTTTGGACTCTTGGAAACAAAGATTAAGAGAGCTACGGCAAATAAAGCTTCTCTTAATCTTTGTACAGAGTGGTGTTATACTATAAACCACTTTAAACATCAAGCAGGCAGGATATGGTTATTATGGAAGCCACACACTTATAAAATACATGTGTGACTGATTACAGAGCAGTTAACACCAAGTGAAATCACTCATATCAACACATGGAGGGTGATTAATGTGACTATGGTGTATGGATTTAATGATCCTGCACTAAGGACTGAACTATGGAGGAACATAAGGAAACATTGCTGATAAAATTGTAGGAGATGGGTAGTAATTTTAACTGTATTCTCAATCAGGAGGATAGAGTGGGAAGCAAGGTCAGCTATTCATAGATAAAAGACTTTAGGGAATGTGTTGATCAGAGTGGACTAAAGGAACTGAAATCTTCTGGATGCTTGTATACATGGAGCAACAATTCAGAAAGACAAAATAGAGTTTTGAGCAAGATTGTAGAGTATTCATCAATGCAGACTGGGTAAACAGCCTACTAACATATGAAGTTCATTACTTGCCTGCAGGTTTATATGATCATAGTCCAGCTTTTATCAAATGGAAAGTAACTAGCCCACCAAGGAAGAAGAGCTTTACATACTACAATATGTGAAGTATGGATAAGTCCTTCAAAGCAAGGTTGGAGAGTAGCTGGAGATAACCAATAACAGGAACTAACATGTACAAACTAGTAGGAAAGTTGAACAACTAAAAAGCATCCTTTTAAAGCTCAATAAGGAGAAGTTTGCAGCAGTGGAAAAACAGGAGGAGGAAAGCATGAGAAAATTGGTAGAATGTCAAGGGAAGATTCAAAATGGTCCAACTAATGAAAACTTAATTAGAGAGGAGAAAAACTTGACACAACAATGAATCTATTGGAAGAAAGCAAATCATGACTACCTGCAGCGGAAAAGTAAAGTGCAATGGCTTAAGTATGGTGATTTGAATACCAAGTACCTTCACTCTATTATCAAAGCCAAAAGGTCAGCAAGCAGGATCTTTACCATACAAAATGTGCAAGGGGAAGCGGTGCACTTAACAGATGCAGTAGTAGATGCCTTTATTGAATTCAATACAAGCCTATTGGGAACTGATCAACAGAGTAGAGATCATGTGGTTAGCCATATAGTCAAAGGGGGACAAATGGTCTCAGAGTAGCAAAGAGGCCAATTGGTTAGTGCATACTCAGAGAAGGAAGTAAGGAAAGCATTATGGGACATATCAGGGGCAAAGGCACCAGGCTCTGATGGCTATGGTAGCCAATTCTTTAACGGAAAAGGGTCAAATATGTCCCTCTACTATTAACAATTGTTTAAAAATATCCTTCGTTATACTATCGGGACATAAAACCCCTCACCGTTACACTATTAAACAAAAATGCCCCTAATTAGACGGCATAGACATGTGGCAACATTTAAAAGCTGAAGAGAACCCGTTTCTCTTAAAAACCAAACCCGCTCCGACCCACTAAATTGACCCACCCTTCTAAACCTAAAAATACGGGTTACAACCCTAATTTCGTCCCACCCTTAATAGAGAAAAAGCTTCCTCTCTCTGTTACTCAAAAATTAGTAAATCCCAAACTGAAGATTCAGTCTCAAAGGTTCTTCTCCTCTGTATTACTCAAAATTGGTAATTGCAAAATGCAAGATTCAGTCTCAAACGTAGGTTCCATGTCTGATTCAACTGCTACATCAAAGAGGATGTGCCATTGTGGGGAGATTGCCAAGAACTTCAAATCAACCACAGCTCAAAATCTTGGAAGGAGATTCTATAAGTGTGCTAAACCTGAAGTAAGTTTTAATTTTCTTTCGATTCATAATTTGAAGGTATGATACAAATTTCGTAATTGGTTGTTTTTGTTAGAATGAGTCGTGAGGATATTGGAAATGGCAAGACGAAGCCTACCCGGATAGAGCGTTGATAGAAATCAACAAGTTGCAGTGCAAATTAGATGCTGCTAATGTGACAATCAATATGTTGAATCAGTTGTTGGAAACGTGCAAAGTTGAAAGGGACAAATTGCTGGAAAAGGTTGATGTATTAGAGGCTCTAAAAAATATTGAAGTGAATAAAGCAAGGGAGATGGAAGAGAAACTGTTGAAGATGAAGATGTTTGTTTTGATATTGTTTGCACTGTTTGTTGGCTTTGTTGCTGCAATGATGATGAAGTAATGCATTTGTTTAGATCAATTTCGGACAAGTTATTGTGAACAAATTATCGTGTATGATGAAGTTAAATATTGTTGATGAAATGTATTATGTAGTGCCTATTGAAATGTGTAGTTGGTATTGTTTATGTTGCCTAGTAATATGTATAGTGCCAACTTTAATGCCTATTGATATAGTTCCCACTTTAATGTATTTTTTGTGAAGTTTAATATTGTTGTGACGAAGTTATGAAAATATTTCTACTTTGTGTAAGGCCTACTGTTTTGTAATGCTTTTTCATGTTGCATTGTTACTTAAAAATTGTATCATTTCAACATAGTTTTACTGCACTATTTGGAATAACTTATTGTGAATTCTAATCAATGAACACATAAACCTGTATTATTTTGAAACTACAATACTGTTAAGATAATTTCAACACGGTTTTTCTACAGCACTGTTTAGACCAAAAGATCACATTCAAAACTACAGCACTGTGCAAACTCCACAATTATAGTTTTTCTACAGCACTGTTTAGACCAAAAGATCACATTCAAAACTACAGCACATTCAAAACTACAGCACTGTGCAAACTCAAAAGGGACAATTCAATAAGTACTGTTAATAAGCATTTAAGTATTGTTATCACAGTAGTTACATCACCAAATGGATGAATGGATGTCATATTATAACAACAAAAACTTGTACAACCAAGTCATAATATGACATCCGAATCCAATACCAATATTAACAAGTTTGCAGCAAAGTTTGCAGTTAATACATCCCATCAAAACACAAAAAAAGTTCAGTTTGGTCTTCAATTTCCTTTCCTTGGCCTAAGCTTCCCAATCCTCAGTTGCCTTTGTTTTTCTAACTGATTTGCAGTTGTAGCAGGTTTTCCTTTCCAGCTTAAAGATGGTGGTGTGTATGGAAGGTTTGTTGGATCACTCACACCAGTGTGATCACCAGTGAAGGTGATTGACCTTGTGCCAGTAGGTATTGGTACCTGCTGTCTCATCTTAAGTCTTGTATTGACTTCTGATATCACCCTTGGCCTCAGTACAACATCTTGATCAACCTCCAGATCCTTGCTTGATTGGCCAACTTTCCTAACTCCAGGAGTAGGCATGAACCTAATGTCATTGTCTTGATTTGGTTGACTGGTTGGAGGGGCTGAACAGTTAATGTCTTGACTTGGTTGACTGGTTGGAGGGGCTGAACAGTTAATGTCTTGACTTGGTTGACTGATTGGAGGGGCTGAACAGTTAATATCTTCTTCAGTTTCTTCATCTATCAAAGTTCTTGGCCTCTTTGTCTGTTGTTTTCCCTTTCCCTTTCCCTTTGGTTGCTGCAAGAAAATCCAAGTTAGAAAAATAAAATAAGTTCAAATTTCAGTAAATAAATATTCAAATTAAATTTTAGCTATCCACAAGTCCTAGCATTGTGGGTTGTCTCTCCACATTTCCTACAAGTCATCACTCTTCCTTTTCTTGATTGTGACCACAATCCTTGCCTTTTAATGGCCTCATCCTTCTGCCTATCTCTCTTAACTTTAGGCCTGCCGGCCAACTTCACCAACTCAGGTGGCTCCATTGCTTGTGATGGTTCAATCTTCCAAAATATTTCTCCTCTTACAGGTTGTAACTTGTGTTTATAAGTGAGTAGAAATGCCTCCTTGCTATACCACCAGTTCATTTCTGTCAAAGGATCACCCATGTTGTGAAGTACAGCTTTAATAACATGTGGACATGGGATTCCTGTAAGATCCCACTGCCTACAGGTTCACTTCTTCACAGCCATATTCACACAATGCTTATCACCACCTTCTGACACTTCATAGCCATTTTCTCCATTTGCATTAACTCTACAAGCTGATTGAGCAATTTGCATGTACTCACTGTACAACTCCATGCTTTTTGGACTAAAGTCATGTCTCCAACCCCTCACTTCATCTTCATGTTCTCTTAACATGTTCATCACTTTGATTCTAATGTCCTCCCACATCTTTATTATTGGCTTATGCCTTGCTTCCAAAATCCACTTGTTGAAGGATTCAGTCAAGTTGTTATCAACTGACTGATTCTTGTACACTGTGTCCAGGTAAGCTCTGCACCAAGTCTGAGGAGGGTACTTCAACAAACCAGCTGCTCCATCCTTGTTCAACTCCCCTAAATTCTTCAAATGATCCTTGAATTCCTCCTCATAAGTAGACCATGCACACCACCAAAGTAATTTTTTGCTTTCACCGGTATTGTATATCTTGCACCAGTTGGCCTCAATATGTCTAACACAATATCTATGGTGTGATTGAGGAAGGACAGTTCTAACAGCATCAATTAATCCCTATGGCAGTTATAGAAACATACATCCACTTAGAATATTTCATAAACAACAAAAAGGCAGAATTAAATGCAGATTTACAGCCAGAAACATACAGTCACTTAGAATTTTTCATATTCAACAAAAAGGCAGAATTAAATGCAGACCATGGACAGCACTATAGGACATAAATATATGACGGAATTTAATAGAAAAGGACAAAAATATATGACAGAAATAAATAGAAAAGGACACAAATTGATAAAGACAGAAAATTAGGACAAAAATAGAAGAAGACAAAAAATGAAGAAGACAGAAATAGAAGAAGACAGAAATAGAAAAATTAATACCTTTTGCATGTCTGACATGAAGGTAATTCCTTCCCCATCCTTGAGGTCTAGAGAATGTTGAAGCAACTGCAAGAACCAATTCCATGTATTCTTTGTCTCTTTGTCAACAACTGCCCAAGCCAAAGGATAGAAATGGTTCTGTGAATCTTGTCCAACAGCCACTAGTAGTTGGCCCTTAGCTTTCCCCTTTAAGAAAGTTCCATCTAGACCAATAAAAGGTCTCAACCCTAGCTTGAAACCCATCTTTAAAGCTTGAAAGCAAATATACATCCTTAAGAATCTTCTCTCCCTTCTTCAAGTGCATTCTTTGAAAGGTTTATAACCACATCACTGCCTGGATTACTATCTCTCAATTCAGTTGCATAAGCTTCAAGTTTGTTATACTCATCACTGAAACTACCATCTAAGCTTTCCAAGACCATTCTCTTTGCTCTCTTACACTTTCCATGACTAATATTTAGTTCAAAAACCCTCTTCAAATCTGCCATCATCTCCTTTACCTTATACTTAGGATTATCTTGTAATTTAAGCTTGAAATACTGTGCAATAGTACTGAAATCAACAGTATTGTTATCAAAAGCAACACCACAACTATGTTCTGCATTTAAGGTCTTGATCTTAACCCCACCATTCCTCTCTTTGGATATCAAACACAAAAAGGGACAACCAAATATATCACATTTATACCTAAGCCTTATTTTGTCACTCTTCAATAACTCTAATTTTTTCTTGTTTGCCAAAGCATACAACTTCATACACTTCCTAGCTTCTGGTATGTCCTTAAAGCTCATATCCTTATACAACTCTTTGTACTCATTAAGTTCTTCAGTTATCTCCCTCTTTTTTTGTACTTTCAAAGTTTCCAATTCTTCAGAATCATAACCTTCTGATTCAACACTAGAATCAGATTCTAAGTCACTTAAGCTACAGTCAGTACCAGCCTCATCCTCGTGGGTGTATGATTCTTTATGGTGTACAATATCAGGGATACCATGAATAGGGGGCTCACATTCATCCACAGCATAAATGTTAACAACATTATATTCATCACATATCAAGCTAAGTAATTTTCTAATCCCAACATCCCCATCAATCGCATAAAATTTGCCAGAAGGACAAGCAACAATAAGCTGCTGACCCCTACAAACCCTAGCTCATTTATATATTCATTCACTATGTCTATATGTGAAGTAAGTCTGAGTCATAACCTGTCCAAGTGTGCACCAATTTCTTTGTGTATAAGACCTCAGGCTGTGTAACCCAATCACCACCATAATTGAATATTATATCTATTAATACCATCTCCAATAACCTATAAATATAGCCAATAGGTCAAGTTAGCAAAGAATAAATAAACAAATAAAAAGGCAGAACTAAAAAGGGAATAATTATATTAAAAAAGGCAGACTCCATTTAGCTATGTCATACCACCATTGAAGGTGGTCCTACTCACAGTATATTTTATCACCTAATAAATATAGAAGAAGTCCATATCTTGAAGGTGGTCCAGATTCAGGCCCACTCCATAATAAATTAACTAAAAAAATTATTGAACGTGGTCCTACACACATAATACTATAATCAGAAAGTAACAAATTAGGACAAATTTACCTATTAAACAACAACAAAAACTCAGAATATTGGGACAAACAAACACCCTAAACCAGCTACCAAAATCAAAACCATGTCGGGACCAAAAATAACTTCACATCGGGACCATATCAATAATAAAGCATGCAAACACTTGAAGCAGACAAAAAATGTGAATATAATACTGAAAGTACAAAAATAAATGTATGGATGTCAACAAAACACAACAAATCAAAACCCTAGGCGAAAAACCCTAAAATAACAGCAAACACATAAAATACTGAGCAAAAAAGAGTTAAAACAAGAAAAGCGAACCATTTCCATGGAGAAATATATTACCTTTACTTCATTTGCGGCGGATATCTCACGATTTTTCTTCTATCGATGGAGGCTTCTAGAAAGAGTGAAAGAGAAGAAAAAGAAATGTGTTTCGTAGGTTTGACCCTTAACCCGTGTTTTTAGGTTTAGAAGAGTGGGTCAATTTAGTGGGTCAGAGCGGGTTTGATTTTTAAGAGAAACGGGTTCTCTTCAGCTTTTAAATGCTGCCACGTGTCTATGCCGTCTAATTAGGGGCAGTTTTGTTTAATAGTGTAACGGTGAGGGGTTTTATGTCCCGATAGTATAACGAAGCATATTTTTAAATAATTGTTAATAGTAGAGGGACATATTTGACCTTTAAACCAATTCTTTAAAGACAGTTGAGCAATAGTAAGGGAGGATGTCACTGTGATAATAGGTGAATTTGACTATAATCACGCCTTAAATAATCACCTTCTTGTGTAGTTTTTAATGCTAAAAGTGATGACAAAATGCTCTTATTAGTGATTTTCATGATTTGTAGGTGATATATGTATAAAGAAGGCTAAGGAGCAGTTTTGGAGTCAAAAGTGATGAAAAAGAGGCCAACTGTGAAATTTTCCAAGTGACGCGTGCAAAAAAAAACAGGCCGAAGATTCAGAGAACTGGGCCCACCGCGGTTCCACCGCGACCGCGGCAGAACCGCGGTGGGAAGAAGCTGCTGAAGATTGGAGATTCCGCGAGGGTGTTTGGCCGCAGTTGTACCGCAACCGCGGCAGGCCCAGTAAACTTCAGGGACCAAAGTGTCAATTACGGGATTTTTAGACCTAAACCCTATTTAAAACATTAGACTTCGCCCAAGAGAGGCATGTATTGATTTTTTAGGTTTTCTTAGCAAGGAAAACAATTGTGAGAAAGTACTCTAAAAATCTTTCTTCTTTTCTTTTGATTTTATGATGAAGTCAAGCTTAGTTTATTCTCTCATAGTCATGAGTAGCTAAATTCCTTGTCTAAGGCTTTGATGGAACCTATTGGGTGATGAACTTCTTGTTTATGTGAATACAAATTGCTAGTTTAATTTTTATTTGTTCAACTTTGTGTTCGTTGTAGTTAATTGACAGGATCCTCAATTAGCTGTGCCTATTTAGTGTGCATAACTTGGAAAAGAGTGCATATTTAGGGTATTGTTGAACAACACCACTCCTAGATTATAAGAGGAATCTATAATTGCGGGTTTAAAGGCGGGATTAGGAATAACGAAGCCTTGGGTGCAATCTAAATTGAATTGTGCTAATTAAAGCAAGCTAGTGTATCTCGGAAGAGTGCAATAGTAGATTACTGTGATTACTCGGGAGAGATTTGCGGTAAGATTAGTGTTCATGATTGATAGAGAGGTTGGGTAAATTTTGTATGAGTATACACAGAAGGGATTCCATCAATAGGGGAAATCATTGCCTTAGCTTTTTCTCATAATTGTTTACAACCCTTTTAATTTAGTTATAGCCTTTTAGTTACTTGCAAGCTAGTTATTAAAGAACACTCAACTGAGAATCTGAATATTTAAGAAGCTGGTTCTGAAGACATAGCGGGTTTGAAGGTAGCAGTTGATAGGTTAACTCTCTGTGGATTCGACCCTGGGCGTAATACTCGGGTTATATTTGCAACGTCCGCAGAGTCCTTTTTTAGAAGGCATAGTTGGGCGCGATCACACTGCAGCAGTGTTGGAATTCTTTCAAGTAGGGAAAATTCTCAAAGCCCTCAATAACACAGTCCTCACCCTCATACCAAAATCCACACATACTGCAACAGTTGGAGATTACAGACCTATAACATGTTGTAATGTGGTAAACAAGATTATCTCAAAGATACTGTGTAATCGATTGAAGTAGGTACTGCCAGACATTATATCACCAAACCAGAGTGCATTTGTGGCTGGAAGAACAATTGTGCAGAATATTATGATATGCCAAGACCTTGTTAGATTGTATAACAGGAAGCAGTCCACTAAACGCCGCTTGATCAAGATTGATCTAAAAAGGGCATTTGACTCCATAGAGTGGAAGTTTGTGGAGGAAATATTACATGCACTAAACTTCCCAGGGATATCCATAAGATGGATCATGGCATGCATCACCACCCCTAGCTACATCATCAATTTGAATGGAGGGTCTTTTGGAAAAATATAGGGGAAGAGAGGATTGAGACAGGGATATCCTATCTCACCTTTGCTTTTTGTCCTCTCTATGAATACTTCACGCGAATTATGACTCATGTGACCAGGCAAGAGGAATTCGCATTCCATACAAAATAAAGGATTGAAGCTGACACATTTATGCTTTGCTGATGACATGGTATTATTTTGTAGAGGGGATTTTCCTTCAGTACTTCTAATGTTGAGGGACTGAAATCTTTTTCCCAAGCATCAGGATTGACTGTCAATGCAAGAAAATCAAACATATATTGTGCCAACATGAATGAAAGGTAGCTAGATAGAAGACATTTGTGAGATAACATGATATAGAAAGGGCAAATTACCATTGAAATATCTAAGGGTTCCTATTTCCTCCAAGAAGCTAAGTGATGTGGATTGTGTGAAGTTATATGACAAGATCTTGGTAAAGATAAGAGGATGGGGATCAAGAAACCTATCATATGCGGGCAAAACCCAATTAGTGAATGCAGTACTACTACGTCTGCATTCCTACTGGACTTCAATCTTCTTGCTACCAAAAAGGGTCATGAAGGATATTATAGCTATATGTAGAAACTACTTATGGGAGAAGTGTTACAAACAAGTCCCCATTAGTAGCATGGGACCTGGTCTGTCAAACTAAAGGAGAATGAGGATTAGGATACAAGAATGTATGGTGTGGAATGAAGCAGTATTGGAAAAATATGTGTGGAACATTGAGCAGAAAAGTGACTCATTATGGGTTAAATGGGTGAATCATATATACATAAACGGCAAGGAATGGTGGCAATACAAACAACCAAATGATTGTGCATAGTACTGGAAGAAAATATGGGACATTAAAGCAATCTTTGCTCCTAGCTTTGAACAAAAGGGTTGGAAAGGTCTGACAAATGCATACACGGTGAAGGAAGATATCAATGGATCGAAGAAGAGGAGCACAAGCTAAGTGGCCATATGCAAGATGGATATGGAATAGACTAAATGTTCCAAAACGCTGTTTCATTGGATGGTTGATTATGAGGCAGAGGAATCTCACGAGAGACAGACTACACCTAATGGGAATAAACCAGGAGAGAACATGTCTACTCTGTGGAATGAAGGATTAAACAAAACAACACCTACACATTGAATGTCCTTTTTCACATTTGTGCCTTGAGGAACT